TTTCTTCTAAAGCTTTTAACTTTTTCCTAGACCATCCAAATGTGTTGTATTTTTTTTTTTCAAAAGTGAAAAATTGAATTTAGTGTATGTTTTGTATAACATTTACGGTCCATTAAAAAAAAAAAAAGAACTGATGGTAATTTTGGGTGATGGATCAAAATTTTAAGCATTTGGGTATTAAAATTTAATATTTTTAAAATCTGGTCATTATAAGTAAAAAACATAGCTTCATATTCACATATTCAACTGAAATTCAATCAGAATCCAATCAATCTAATAAAACAATATTTTATAATATAAAAAATTATTATCATGAATATAATAAATTATAATGATAATTATAAATATAAAATATATTAGAGAATTTAAAATAAATAATTGTTAAAACAAGATAAAAATATAATAAAATAATTATTATTTAAAGTTGGTGAAAATAATATTAAATAAAAAACTAAAATATATTATATTTTTTATAAAAAAATTATATTAAAAAATTAATCTTTCATTTTTTTAATTAAAATCAATTCAATAAAAACAGTCAGCTAATTTCCCATTTTATATATTTTTTCTGATTTTGTCCGATTTAATTAAAATATATTTAAAAACAATATATCAATTTCTAGACATTATTTGGGTCTAATTTTCAAGTAAAAATTAATTGTTTTGCATTTTAACTATTTACTAATTGTAATTATTCCTTTTTAATGGTTAGAGTTAATCAATGTGGCTCAGATCATATTCGTCTTCAAATTTTGGGGGAGTAATTAATATTTAATTTTCATAAAATACATCATTGAATAAGATATTATAAAGAGAGATTTATGTGTATTTAATAAGTTCTTAATAATAAAAAAAATAATCACCGATTAAAAACACTGAAACTTAGAAGTGCTAACTACTGCCGAAACAAATAGTTAGTACCTAGAAGTATTATATAACTAAATTAAAATAAAATTATTTATAATTTTCAAGACAATAAATATCTTTTATTCAAGACTAAATCTTTGATTGATAAGGGTATATTTATAAATACTAGAACGTTTAAGTTACATGATATATATGTTATATAATAAATGTATAATTGATAAATAATATGATTGTTTAATTTAATTAATTGGTAAATTATAATTGAAATTTTATAAAAATGTATAGTTGAAATATTCTGGAAATAGTAACTGTGCAAAACTCAAACATCAAATTTTCCGTATGAATAAATCACAGTTATACTTTGAAGAAAGAAAAAAGAAAATGGTGAGCACGTAGATAATATTGTAGAGTTTAGGGTTTACAGAACAATGATTTGAAATGATCAAAGCCTGAGTACACTCTGTCATCAGTATTTCGTGCATCCAAGTAACACACAACACAACAACATTAAGCAATGTTCCATCACTACAAATATATTATTAGCTACAACAAAAAATGCAATTATATCTAAGTTTCTTTGAATTAATAACCTCAAAAATGTTTCTCATCCACCTTTTTGCTTTCAAACCGTTGCTTACCAAGAAAAAGAAACCTAAGTTTGTGTCTTACACCGATTTAAACCGATCGAAGTGTTTTTTTATGAACATTATTTTTTAGTATTCGACTCAAAACATTAATCGTTCCGAAATTTTTTCAATTATAATAATTTTTTTTAAGAAGTGTTGAATGTATATATATAAAATAAGATTGTCGTTTTATGTAATTATTAAGCAAGCAGAATATTAATGTAGTAGGAAAAATATTCCTAATCATGGTAGAATTCGTCATAGTTACGCTTACACCACAATCAACCTTACTTAAGCATGGCAATGGCTTTATTAAATGAAAATAAAGTTATGCTTTAACATGGTACATATACATTTATCGCACTTTGTTTCTGCTAATTTTTTCTTTTCACTGGGCCCATTTAAATTGAATAAAGAAGCACCACATGATTAACCAAGTATATAAATCAAACTTAAAACAAAATTATGGAGAAAAAACAAAACACAATAATTAAATGGTGTTTTAAAAGAGGCATTGACCGTAAGATAGATGTGTTCTAGAAAGAGCAAGTAAATAAATAATTATGCTTTGTTGCAGGTCATATCTTCCTAAATAACAATGTCAAAAGCACAGTACGCATCTTCTTAGATGAATAATTTAATTGAAATATATATATGGAATATGATTCTCAATGAAAAAAAAATAAAGAAAAAATAAGTATAAACAAGCATGAATCGCATGCATGCAGGCTAATTAAATCTAATATTATATTAAGTAGTTGAGTGAAAGAGTATTAAATGGTAATTAAAATGTATAGAGTAAAATATGTTTTTTCCTATAATTTAAAGACATATTAATAATTTATCTAAATTATTTTATTTGTAATTGTATTTGAATTTTAAAATATTTTCACAACACACAACAATTTGGTATGAATATCACTATACATATAATAGGGCATGAGAAGAAGTGATTCCTTTTTCTTTTCCCTTTTGAGCTTGATAACAAGTCATTCTCTGTAAATAGAATGATAACTTTATCATCACTAATCCATAAAAGAATTACATTTAACTGAAATGTGAAGCAATGCACCCCTGGGAATTTGAAACAATTGATCTAGCTGTGTCACACTGCTTCCAAACCAGAATAATTTTCCCAAAACAAATATGATGCATGCATGGGACCACAAAGTAAATCACTGGAACTCGCCTCTGTGTCATCTGAATGTATGCAATAAGCTTAAGCCTTCCAAACCAATCATTGCTCCATACACTGTGGAGTGTATAGCCTTAACAAGTTAAATTTGTCATATATTTCTCATCACAGTACAACATATTTTGTCTTCTGCAACATCTGTTTCACACCATACTGTACAACACCCTTATCCATTATTAGGAATGTGATTAAGTGGTGGTACTTCCTTCATCAAACAGTTTATTGCATTTGGTATTTTGGTGCGAATAAACTATACATTGATTCATTAAAAAATCATATCAGTAAATAATTTATCACTATACAGTTTTACTGCAGAAAAACCACACTCTAAAAAAAGGTTTAGAGTGTAGAATCTATCTTTCCGTTTTCCTTTTAGCCCTACTCTTTGGAAGAAGAGGAAGGTAGAATATTGAAACTAAAATTGACTGGAATGTGGTTGAGGATGAGAACACAGTGTCCAAGTTTTAATGTGCATATGGTAAAGGAAGATTACATTTACATCCTCCCCACCTATGATGCATAGGATAAGGACTTGTAGAATAGGGTTAAGGGGTATTATAGGTATGAGAAAAAATGGTATGGTGTCCAGTCTGTTTCCTTGACTATCCAGCCTACTGAATGAGATAACAAAGTCTCATTTAATATGGAGATTCAAATGAAATTTAGTAATTTACGCAATTCAAGGAAATGGAAATTTGCAAAAACAAATGACTTTAGGCTTATTCGGTGTGTAGTCTGTTCATTTGACCTTTTCAACTTTTTGTTTTTTATTTTTTTTTTACAAATATGCATTATTCAAGAACACATCATTACTTGTGTAATGTAAAACCAGTACCAATAATAATACTGCTACTGATTTTCTGCAACTGATGTTTGACTTACAAAAGAGAGAGGAAAAGAAAAAGAAACAGATATTGAAAACAAATTACAGAGTAACGTAAAATAAATTTACACCAACAGTTCAAATAAATGTTACAGTTTTATCATTTTTTATCATGATTACATTGTTGCTTTATTTATAGATGCAATGATTTGTAAAACTCTGTTTTTTTCTTTTTTACAATAACAATGTTACTAATAATTCTTTTAAAATGGGTATTTCACACTACCATTTGTTTTTCGCTTTCCACACTTGTGTATTTAATGTGAAATAGTACCATTGAAGCATCTGTTTATCTGTCACCGTCTGAAGAAACCTTAGGAATAATAAAAACAATAAAAAAAGGGGAGTAGAAATAGAAATAGAAATTAGAAAGGGAAAGGTATACGAACACAGAGGGAATGTGAGAGAGAGAGAGAGAGAGAGGGTGTGGGGGAGGGAAGAAATTTGAAGAAACAGCAAAGAAAGTTTCCAATTTGATGCTTATTTTTTACCATATGGCAATGTGAGTCCATGTCACTTGCCTATCACCTACCACTGATAATTCCATGCCTTGTTATTAACCCAACCACACCATTTCCCTCTTGCAATTTCATGTGCCTCTTGTGTTCTTCAATTCCCTCCAACAACTACACAACACAGACGGGTCGGTGCCTTGCCTTTTTTACCTTCTTTTTCTGTTTGTGTGAGGAGGGGGAATGCTCCTGCTCTAAGGAGGTTCATTTTTGAGATTGGAAACACAGACCATTTGGCACAGTTGAGGAATCCCACAAACCAAAATCATATTTTGACAATGGGGTTTAGCTGGGCGTGTGCCACTGGGTTCACATCCAAGATGATTTTGACTGCATAAGAGATCTAGTGTTTAAGTGGATTCAGGGTCAGAAAAGAGGCTCCAGAAAAAACTGTGAAGAATTTTGGTTGTGAACAGTGTTTCTCTTTAAATCTGTGCTAAGTTGCTGGAAGGTAACGACAGGGGTTGTTCTTAAATGAGTTGTTTTTGTGGTCATTGGTTTTTTGCTTGGTTAGATAATTCGAAGCTTTATTGGCCTCATTTTTTATGCGTACAAATTGAGTGAGCTTTTAGTCTTTCTTTATGATTTGGTTAGCAAGTGCTACATAAAACCGATTTTATTCACTGTTATGCTCTTTTGGTTTCTTGAGATTTGTTATTTTCAAAAACTTGAGTCAACTTGTTTCCCGATTTGGTTTTCTGGGATATGAATGCTGAGTTTCTCGTGTTCAATTTAGTTTTCTTTCCGTTTGCACTTTAATCAGGGAACTCAGTCTCTTTCAACAAATGAATGCCCTTTTCTATTTGTTTTTACGTATGGGAAGGATACTGAACAATTTAGTTTCGTGCTGGAATTTGGTATGACTGGATTTGAGAATCTCTTTTACGAAATAATTGTATGTTTGGTTCGAGAATCCAATGCAAGAGTTTGGTGTCATCCAGTAATTTGCCAATAATGTGCTTTATTTTGCAGCATGATTTGCTGCGTGCATTGAAATGATTTCTTATATATAACATTGACTTATGCAGATATATATATTGGCAGCTGCTAATGGCATCTGATCTAAGTTCGGGGTTGTCCAAGGAAACGTCTGTTTTTGGGTTGAAAGCATGGGAATTAATGGGGATACTAGTTGGGTTGTTCATTATAATCATTCTTGTGGTGGTATCGATATGTCTTACTTCTCGAAAGAAATCTAGAAGAGTCAATGGCATGCTTCCCCTTAGCCATATGTTATCTGTCTCAGATGAGATCAAGGAAATTAGAGTCGATCACGTTTCATCCAATAATCATCCTCAGAATGGAGCTTTTATGAGTCTGTATGACAGGTTTAGCGACAGGGACTCTGAAAAGGTTTTGATCCAACCAAAGAATGGGGAAAATAGCAGTCAATCGGGCTCATTTGTTCATCTTAAGAAAGATGATGGTGGCTCTCAATCTGGTGAAGAAAGTGGTGCCAAGTCTGTTTCTACTTACAGGTCTTCTTCGCATCCCATAACTGCACCGTCTCCCTTGTCTGGTCTGCCTGAATTCTCTCACCTTGGATGGGGACACTGGTTCACATTAAGGGACCTAGAACTTGCAACAAACAGGTTTTCGAAAGACAATGTTATTGGTGAAGGTGGATATGGAGTTGTTTATCAAGGCCAGTTAATCAATGGGAGTCCCGTGGCTGTTAAGAAGCTACTCAATAATCTGTAAGTTCTGACATTAAATTGTTTAAATACATTACAGCTGTTGTGTTCAATTTCAGCTTCAGTCTAGTCTTTGATCTCTTGTTTAATATTTTATTAGCATGTCTTTGGAGTTAGTTTATCTAATCCTGTTGATGCCCCTCATGCAGAGGACAAGCTGAAAAGGAATTTAGAGTGGAAGTTGAGGCTATTGGCCATGTGCGACACAAGAATTTGGTTAGACTTTTGGGCTATTGCATTGAAGGGACTCACAGGTAGCATATTGTTTTGTCATTTTATTTCGGTTAAACATGCAGATGTCCACTTTTGTTTCTAATCTATTTATTTTGGAATCAGCAAAGATGAATTGTCAGTTGTCATCAATTGTGCATGCATGTGTGGTTAACTGTTTGTGTCTGCTGTCATCATTGATTGGCCATTTGATGGAAATAGTTTACAAAATATCTTGTAAATCTATTAACTGCAACAAATGTTGTTAAGAATTTCTTTTAACATTAAATTTATTATAGTCGCATTGTTGGGTACTGTTTGTATGATTTGGGTTCTTGATCCCTAGTGAATTCCCTGTTTATTTCAGGTTGTTGGTTTATGAGTATGTTAACAATGGCAATTTAGAGCAATGGCTTCATGGAGCCATGCGGCAGTATGGTTTTCTTACTTGGGATGCTCGGATTAAAATTCTTCTTGGAACAGCTAAAGCGTATGCATGCTTAGCACTGTCTTAATTTTCCTTCTTTTTTATTTTATTTTATTTCCTTCTTAGGTGTTGGTGAGTTTCCTTTTAATATATGATTCTATCACAGACTATCTTACTTGCACGAGGCAATTGAGCCAAAAGTTGTACATCGAGATATTAAATCAAGCAATATTCTAATTGATGATGACTTCAATGCCAAAATATCTGACTTTGGGCTGGCAAAGTTACTCGGTGCTGGAAAAAGTCATATCACAACTCGAGTAATGGGGACTTTTGGGTAAGTTGTCTTTCCAATGCCTACAGATTAGGGACTTCTTTATGATTCACAAATATTTTTCTTGGTATTGTCATTTATAGGACAATGACTATTGTCGTTTACCTTAATATTTATGAAAAAAATTGCAACATTCTATAAAATTGACTGAATTGGCTTTTTTAACTGCTTTAGTTGGCGTGCTGAGTTCTTCTTTTCGGTACTTCAATTGCGTTTTTCAGATATGTGGCTCCAGAATATGCCAATTCTGGCTTACTAAATGAGAAGAGCGATGTTTATAGCTTTGGGGTATTGCTCCTGGAAGCAATCACCGGAAGGGACCCTGTGGATTATAGCCGACCAGCTGCTGAGGTGTGTCACTGGGAACCTGTAAAAGAACATGAGAAATCAAGACTCTAATGTGCATATATTTATGTGTTCTTATTAGTGGATGATTGTCTAATTGACAAGAGTTGAGGAACTTTTCACTAATACGTATCTTCACTTAAATTTGAAATGTGAAGAAGGATATATACATCAGAAATTTTCAAGGAGTAGTTGATAGCTTTAATTTGTTTTCATGACACTGTCAAACTTCCCTCAACACTGTGTCTGATGATTGGATGATTATTGTAGGTTAATTTGGTTGACTGGCTCAAGATGATGGTTGGGAATAGGCGCGCAGAAGAGGTGGTAGACCCTAACATTGAGACCAGGCCATCAACAAGTTCCCTTAAACGTGCCCTTTTGACTGCTTTGAGGTGTGTTGATCCAGATTCTGAGAAAAGACCAAAGATGAGTCAAGTTGTCCGCATGCTTGAATCAGAGGAATATCCCATACCCCGAGAGGTCTGAATTCTCATCTCATCTATTAGATCACAAGAACTTTCCAACTTTGTGTGGCAGTTGTTTTTCTTTGTTTTAACCATAAAACTTCATCCTGCTCCTTGCAACAACCATTAAACTCTTTTTTGTGAAGAAACATGGTATGTTTCTCTAATGAAGCCGGTGACATTTCAGGATCGAAGACGCCGGAAGAGTCAAGCAGGAAATATGGAGGTGGAGGCCCAGAAGGAGGTTTCTGATACAGAGAAGAGTGACAATCCAGATTCAACTTCCAATGGCAGAAGGAACCAAAAGAAGTAGAGCCATGTATCTTAAAAGCTAAAGTTCCTATTCCAGGATAAGGTACACTCTTGAAGGGCAATTTTTTGCATTCTTTTGAGCTTCTGAGTTTGGATAACTGCCACGTTTGACATCAAAGACATGGAAAAGGAATGAGTTACTTTGGGATGGTTTGTATACCTATTTGTTGTTATAGCATAGATGTAGATGTTAGAATGTAGATTATTGTGTATTAATATGGGATTAAAAATACCCCTTACACTAGTGTGTACAGCTCATTGCTATTCATACATTACCCTTTGTCTTTTTATTTGTTTCACCACTCATTGGGGTCATAAGGAATCGGTGCTTCCTTGTGTAAAAGATGATCACAAAATTTTACCAAAGCGTGAAAGACAAAACATGTGCTTATTGTCTATAATTACAGTGAGGAATTTTCTTGATTATTTTTGGTAGCATGGTTATGATAAGCTCTCTCCACTTTTTGTTATGGCAGCCACTTCTACAACAAAACCACTCGAACTGGAATAATTCTTATTTTTAGTTTTCTTGACAAGAATATAATTCTCTCTGATGAATCAATAATTGAGTCTTGTTAAAGTGAGTAGGACTAGATTTGAATTGAAATCTTCCGCACATGACATGATGATAGTTAAACCTAACTCATTTTAACATTGGTGAATAAGGTAAAACTAGTTTTTGATGAAGTAAAGCTTATCAAAATTAATTGTGACTCTTTTTCTTTTGAAAGTAGTCTTAAACCCAAACCATTTCACATAAAGTTCCAAAATAAGGCAAAAATAGATTTTGATTTTTCAAATTTCAATATCAATTTTTAAATTTAAACCGCACAATTTTCTTTTGAATTATTTATACACACACTCATCTCTATTTTTTATTTCACTGATGTTTCAACTAGTAATCGTGGTTTGGATTGAAAACAAACTAATAATAATGGCACTCGTAGAAATAAATGGGATAATAATGAAAATAAAGGTAAATTTTGGAAGTTGTTAAGATGATAAAACAAAAACCTTGTATTGTTAATTAACTGCATGTATATTGTAAATTAGAATTTATGAAGATATTAACTATTGATTTTCTTATCAATATGATTTATTTTAGAGTTTGGATTGACATGAGAGTTTATAGATAATCAAAGTGTCTTATTTTAGTATTTAAGTAAATTGTTAATTATGGAGATAAAAGTATGTTGAAAAATATTTTCAACGTAAAACATAAATTAAAGTTTTCATCAATAGACTACTAAATAAATTGCAAAAATAAAACTACCATGTTCAATACAAAACTTTGAGATATGAATTGCAAAGACAACTAAACTTGGAAAGGTGTATGCCCTCTGATTTGAGTTATTAGGAGGATTTTTTTTCCATTGGTGTATGTATGCAGATGTAGCAGATAGATACCTTGCCATGGATGGTGAATAATATTGTTTCAGATATCTACACTAATATGTGTGTCAACCATAAAAGGCGCAACAACAACAGCCTAATCAAGTGTCTCCATACTCTGCATTCATTACTAGTTTTTAGTAACTTGATGTTCATTTCGTAACATGCCATTCAATTTCTCTAGAACAAAAAAAGAAAATTAAAGAAAATAGTAAACATCCCATTCTACAAATCAACCAAAAGCACGAAGTGTGCAATTCCATGCCCCATGAATCAACCAATTTATGCATAGAAAAAGTAAATAGCCTTTATAGCAGGAGTATAAAGGATTTTTACACTGTCATCTAATAAAAAACAAACAAACAAACACTGTTATATATAATAATTGTTGATTATATAATCATTATCTTAATGTAAGATACCAACAATAATTTCTGATTAGCTCAAAAGTGTAAAAATTGCATACAAATTAAACTAGTACATTTTTCTTAAATACTTAGTTGCTCATTCTTCATTATCCAGACCTTACTAGTATCATGTGTCAGTTCATGAATAATCATCATTCTTCAATCTCCTTATCCTGCAAAATCAGGTGCTTTTCCTTTTCCTCTGGGCTCATGAATGCCATGATAGGGAATGACTTTCCAATTCCCATAGGGGTCTTAAAGAGTATCTTCTTCCCCTTGGGATCTTCAATGCTCATCTCAGATATTGGCACCCACAGAAGCATCTGCTTGCTTTTAATGCCTGTCATTTTCTTCATCCTAAGCTTCTCCACATAGCCAGTGACCTCCACAGCATAACTCACCCTCGTGTTGGTTGCCTCAAAGAAATGCTCATAAGGAGCTTTCTGTTTCATCCACACGAACCCAGTTTCTTTTACTCTGCCACACTCCACCAAGTCTTGCAAGGGAAGAACACCCTTTGGAAAACCCAACTCTTCTAAGAGCTCTATGGAGTGGCGATAACACTCTTCAGAACCATACACTATCTCTGCCCCTTCACGCTCCTTTACCACACCAGCCATCTCAGCAATTAATTAGAAGTCTTCAAGCTAAACCAATGCGATGGTAATTGGTGTAGGCATAACTTAACATTATATAATAACAAGGGACTGCAAAAAGTTGGCCTATTTTGAATGTCAGTGGTTCACCCATTTGCTTCTACCATTCTTGATTTGGTGGGTTTTTTTTTTTTTTTTTTTTTTGTTTACCTAGATTAGCTTGGTTAGATTGAGGTTCAATTACAACTTTTGCTAAATTATGATAACTATTTGTAGGCAAGTAAGAGTGACTTGCTTTGTTAACATAAATAGGACCAAATTTAAGTGTTGATGTCAAACTACTGAAATAAGTAGGTGGATTTTGTTAGAGATAGGTGAAACTATGTATTAGTTGTCATGCCTGACTTATTGTGGTGGGTTTAGGTATGGACTTTTCTGTGTGAACAAAGTTAGAGTCTTCTTATATACATTTTAAAGAATAAGACTGGCAGCAATGCAGGCAACCTGCTTTTTAACTAGAAGCATACGTGTCATTGAGTTTCAGTATGACGTATAGAACAGAACATAGATACATGATTACATGTACTTGTGTCTTTTTTTTTCCATTATTATTTGTTTATTGAACAATTAAAAATGTCTCAAGATCCACCTTTTTCTATTTATTACTTTTTCTCATTCTTATTTTCTTTATAATTTTCTATTTTTCAATCATCACCGGTAAATCAACCATGGATTGGATTATGACAATCAATAGTACCGGTAGAGAATCTAGCGTGAAGGAAAGTAGCATTGAATTGGAAGCGCAAGAATATGTTTCTAAGAAAAAATATCCAATCTTTCCATAATTTTTTTTCGTTTAAAAAATAAATAAAACTGAATAACCTTTTATAATTTTATTATTTCACAATTAAGATAATTATGGCTTAAAGAAAAATAATGTTGATGGAATGAAGGGACGTAGACTCATTTGCGGGACCCATATAGTAAAAAACAGTGTTATTGAATCATGCAACCCAAACTGCGAGAGAAAGAATCATACAACCCAAAATGAGCCAAACTGAGAGTAAAACTAGTACAAAATTCATTTAAATTTTCAACTTTTAATCCTCTTTGGATTCAAATCTTATAGAAAAAAGTGAGTAAAAACTAAATTGATTCCTTTTAAACAACTTTCCTATTCAAATCTTATGAAAAAACTTAAAATGTCAAAATAGTTGAAAAAACGAATTGAGCCAGAAGACTAAAGTATCTTTAAATTTACATGGATGCTGTCAAACACATTAATTTAAAATGTAAAACTTGATCCCATCAAAGTCGAATAAAGATGATTCTTTATTGTAGATTCTCCATCGGTTGAGAAGAAATCTCGTTAAAATTTGTAATTCAACTAGAAATCATGTGCTGGCCGTGAAAAGTATATAGTAATATATATTCACTTGTACATACATGGCTTGAAGAAAAGAAAATCCGAACAAAAACAAACATAGAATCTTCCAACACGTATTCACGAGCCATAAACTTAACTATCTATGATAGGCTTTGGCCACCTACGTCACTATTTATATAGCATAGCTTAGTTGAGCCACAAATATAATAACACAAGTGGTACTTCAATACTATTTGCCTCAATTAGTCAACGCAATCTGCATTCTGAAAGAAGGAATGAATGATTTTGGAATTTACATGTTTGGTGATTCCTTTGAGTGAACAGAACGAGTATTCAGTAGAGGCTGTAGAGCTTTCACTATAATGCTCATGTTTGGCCGAAACTCAGCTTCATATTGTATGCACAATGCAGCAACAGCAGCCATCTTTTGCAAAATATATAAACAATGTTTTAGATGAAATGAAAAAACAATTCACATATTTCTATCATCATATAACTATGCAGTTGGATGGAAAAAAATTTCAAAGTGGCATATATTTCTTTTGAACTTGTTGAGAATAGAATAAAAGGTTTGCAAAGCAAAATGTACAAAAGCAAGAGTTTTGGAATATCACTGTTTAACTAAAAGACAATAATACATTTCCAGAATATAATCTAATTACCTTTGCAACTGACTTCGAAGGGTACTCTGCCTTTAGTCTAGCATCAACACACTGCTTCACCTTATCTTCACTAAGCTTTGGTGTTGCCTGATACAACCCAACGAACAAGAATCACAATGTGCAAATCCAAAATTGAAAGGGGAAGAAAACACAATAGTAATATTAACAGAACAAAAAACAAGTATTGGTACCCAAGTGACAAGGCTTTGCTGTCCTCGGGGCAGTGTATGATCAACTGGTTTACGTCCGGTTAAGAGTTCCAGCAGTATAACTCCAAAGCTATAAACATCACTTTTTGAAGTGAGTTGTCCAGTCATTGCATATCTGGCATTAGAAAAAGCCCAATTAAGTACTAAAAAGCCACAAATTTAAAATGTAAAGAGGGACCATAAGCCAAATTTATAATTAACTGTAAAGTGGATTCAAGTTCCTTACATCACTGTCCACAGATCAGATCAGTTTTATGTTTACTCAATTATGATTTTCATGTTCTTCTGATCTACTTTTATTAACAGTATGTAAAGTAAGCATGCACTCAAACAAGTAGATTAGGCTTCCAGGAATAACTTACTCTGGAGCATGATAACCAAAGGTCCCAAGAACACGGGTAGAATGAAGACGCGCTGCTGCATCAGGGGCTTGATTTGACAAATCAAAATCAGCAATTTTTGCAACATCATCGTCAAAAAGAAGTATGTTACTAGACTTAATGTAACGATGGATGATGTGAATCTCTGCCTTTTCATGAAGATATTCAAGTCCCTTTGCTGCCCCAACAGCAATTTTAACTCTTTGAGCCCACGAGAGTACTGCACCAGGTTGTGCACCCTTGACACCTTTTCGTCCTACACCCCACCAATTATCATTATATTGTATATCAAAATGAAGACATTAATAGCAGGGTAGGGGATATAAAGCAGCTTCAATGTCAAAGGCAAAAAATAATTGATAGCTTTTCATGCTGTTTCATCCAAGTGGTAGAAGTTACAAGATTAGTGGGTGAACATGAGGATAAAAGCATCTGCTTGATAATATAGTTTCATTCACAAGGATGACATTTTTTTTCAAAAACTACAATTCCTAAACATGTTACAAGTTTCTATAGAAAATCAGCCAGAAGTAATCTTAAAATATAATAAAAGTTTGAAACTTTGAATATCTGTATGAAATACAGAAAATAAGGGATAATACAGTACAAGTTATGGCTTACCATGTAGAATATCATGGAGGGATCCTTTAGGAGCATACTCATAGGCAAGGGCACGGAAAGGACCATCAACGCAATAGTTAACAAGCTCAACAACATTTTCATTCCTTAGCCTTGATACGATGGAGACCTATACAAGGAGGAGCCAAAAGTACTGAATAAAAACATAGTTGCTATGTAGAATGTGATGCAATCATGCTTTACAATCTAATCATTGAAAAATTTACAACTACAATTGACCCAAACCTGAGAAAGAAATTCTTGCTCTGGCTGATTACTGGAATCTAACTTTTTGATTACCACTGCACGCCCATTTTTTAATGTAGCATGATATACTTTCCCATATGCACCCTCACCAATGAAAGATTTTTGGCCAAAATTATCTGTCAAAGACCTCAACTCATCTACTGTAATGGAAGGGACAGCAATAGGTTGAAAATTTATAGGCCTAGGAACAGTTGCTGCTGTATGTCTGCCAGGATAACTGGCAGCGTTCCCTGCATTGTGCTAACAGAATTAAAGCCAAACAAAAGTTGTACACTACAATAAAAGCCGATTTATAAAGTGCAAATATACAATTAATACTTAAACTAAAGACTGAGTAGAGCCTAAATGTAAACTTACAACAGGCTATTTTTGGAACATCCATATTTAGAAAGTTATCACTTGGGAATGGCACAAAAATAAATATAACACTTGAATTGTCAATAAGAAGCAAGTTCAAACTGTTCTTGTATACAAATCTTTGAACAGACTGTAAATCATGAACCCGTGCATTTCAAATCATGACGATCGAATCTATTACTTGTGTGAAATTCAATGCAACATAAAATTGCAAACAGAAAATTTAAAGGGAAAAAAGCCTGGAAAATATGGATTACCAGTAAGAGTGCTTTGCGTGAAAGGTCCTCTGTCAGCAATTGCAACACTATCATCTCCTTTGCAGAAGCCAAAACAACCCATGATCCTCAATTCTGGAGGTAGGTTTCAATTTGAAAGTTAGTTTACTGCAACAAGTATCAATAAGACTAGGCACAAATTATCAATACCATCTCCCCCTAAGGATAAACACCACCAAACACAAACAAATAAAAAGAAACACCTACGCAAATGTAGTTAGGTAGTTATCCCGTGTTAGTATATATACAAATTCTAAAGTGGATCAGATAGCAGCCATTTTTATTGCACATACTTCTAGGAGAATTTTGAAGTCAGGCATGGTGGAATCACCTTTTCGGTTTTTTCTGATAAACTCAATTTTTTATCAATGATCATTTCTTTCTGAGACAGATACTTAATGACCTTACGTTGATTGTTCTAACTAGGAACACAAACACAAATTGCACCATTAAAATAATTCAGAAAAGACAAGCAAATAGAATTTAGACATGAAGTAATAAGCCATTTGAAAGTAAATTTACAGCAACATAAGAAAAAAAAAGGAAGTGAAGAAAAATACTCAGTCTCTTCCAAAACCAAAAACGGAATGATAAGAAAACTAGCCCTTCTCGACTTTAAAGGTTCTTTCCCTTCACATGGACATCTAAAAGGTACATACCATAAAGGACACGCATTCCAATTTAATCTGTTGATGCATGACAGAACACCAAATGACATGCAAATTAGTCAAAGTGCAAACAGGACCACCGACAAATGAATCAAAAATTCAGAAAAATCACTAACCATCCCCACAAATCAAAACAAACAATGGCACATTATATCATTCCCAATAAATAATTGTGGTGAAAACAATTTCACTATCACAAAACGGGAAAAAAAAAAGAAGAAAAAAAATTCCACCAAAGGTTTCGGTTACAACTACATCCTATTACCCTCAATCGTTGAAGTCAAAAAAGTATAAAAATTTCTTATTTCTACTATTTATATTTATATCTCTAGACCCATATCACCTGTAAGAGTAAATCCCAAAAAGATAACAAGCCAGACAGACAAACAAACATGCAGAACTACCTTAAACACGTCCCCCCAAAAAAATAAAATAAAATAAATAATAATACTAACCACAACAACAACTATCTTAAAGACAAATAGCCCCACAGAGCGATAAACATGCGAAAAATCAAACCGATTAAAGAAAATTCTGGGTTCGACATAAAAATATATATATAATAAATAAATAAATAGACACCTCCTTCTTCCAGAAGGACTCTGCAATCTCACTGTTCAAGAAGAGACAGGGATGAACCAAAAAGAGAAAAAAAAAAAACAATAAATAAACAAAACTTCCCAGTCTCGAGGTCCGTGTGTGTATACCAGAAGAAAAGTGAAACCGGCAAAACGAGTGAAAAAAAAATGAAAAGAGAAAAAGAGTGCATGATGTAGTCAAAGAAAGAAAACCCAGAAACAGGAGTCAGCGTGATGAAAGAAAAGAATCCCACCTTTCGAAATTCAAAGCAAAGACGATGTGTGTTGATGCAGCGTTTGTATTTTTTGGAGCAGAAAATGGATGAATAAGGAAGAGAGGTTTGGAGGGAAATAAGAAGAAGAAATGTTCTGCTAAGTTGAAGTTATGTTGTGTTTGAGCGTGTGCGAAAAAGAAGAACCTTGACTTCACCGTGAAGAAAGAGAGAGAGAGAGAGAGAGAGTCTTATGAACATCACCAAACGTTATTACTTACATTTATTATTACAACTACAGCGTTTGCCAAGTCAACAACACTCGGAAGCCCGTTTCCGAAACGGCGGATACAAACATAGATAGATAATAGATACTTTCCTTTTTTTATCCCCACTTTTCTATTCTTTTTCCTTATTCCCCATTACAATTAGTCAAGTCAATAAAATACAAGACCTTTATTTCATTAGATAATTACTTTTTTTATGCAAGAATAATTAGATTGTGACTTAATTAATACCATTAAAGTACACTGAAACTCAATTATAGTTATCAATATAGTGGTTAAATGTTTATTTTTGGACCTTAAAATCAAACAATCCAAAAATTTAAATACAGTGCGTGTAATTAAAAAAAAAATTACGTTATAGTTCAAGAATTATTTTTTTTAAGTTAAAAAAAAAAACGTTGCATTAGACTCTTCCCTAATCCTATAACTAAAAGGTAATAAACTATGATTCTGCCACGTGTCGTGCATGCAATGAATCGGCCACTGTTATTTTAATTTTTTATTCATTCAAATATAAATTTAATATAAGAACTCTATTAATCTTGCAAAAAGGTTGAGTAAATTTGAATACCTCCTTAATTAGTCTGTATTAAAATTAATATGTAAAAAAATTCATTTTTTATATTTAATAAATATATGATTTTAATTATAATAATTACTTATAAATACATAGGAGAAATGGTTATATGTAAAGATAATTAATTCAGAGTCATATATGGATTTCTTATATTATTAAATGTTGAGTATAAAAGAAATATATGAATCCATTATTAAAATATGGTAAAATGGTTTAACCCAAGTGAAAAATATCATAAGCATGAGGGAGGAAAAGCATGGAAAAGTTTTAGCATTGGGATGGAAGAAGAAGATTATTCTAAAAACAGTGAAGAATGGAGAAAGAAAGGATAGTGGTGGGTGGTATTGTGTTGTTGTGTCAACTTTTAGAAGCCTTGGCTGGAATTGCGTTTGTGATGTTGGATTTGGCTGGCTTCTCAAATTTTGTGGTTGGCATCTTTATTCAAGATTCCATCTAGTTTTTCTCATTCTTAATTCACCTACAATTAATATCCATGTAATTAAAATTTTGCACAATCACTTTTTCTATGAAGTTACAGGTCAATTTCACACTAAGAATAATGCCACTAGTGCCCTTTTGAATTCGTCTTATTTCAAATTCTTGGATACATAAGAACGGGAATCCAAAATGGCCATGTTCAAGAGCTACCCTGGAAACATCCAGGAGATGCACACAACAACCAAAATTCAGTCAAAAATCAAATGTTCTGATCGAGTCAACCAATTAGTGCGTCTTTGAACCTTTTAAGGGAAAAGTTCCGATCATGACTTTGAATTTGATCAAACATTATCTCTCATGTCTTTTATCTAAATTGTTATATAATATAGTCGTGTTCTTTATCTCTTAAAAACTTCACCCTAATTCCTATCAAACAATGGTCACTTGGTGAAGCCTTTTTAATTAGGGTTTGAATGGTCAGGCCCCAAAGGCTGCACCTTTACCAAAGCATAATAAATCAAGGCCTTTTCTCTATGCACCCCACATCTTCTATTCATTTTAATATGATAATATTATTTTTAATGTAAATAAGTCTTACATCACTCTTTTAAAAGCTCTATTATTCTTAATGTGAATAAATCTTGTATTCACTCTTTTAAAAGCTTTATAGAGTTTTTTTTTTTTTAAAAGAGTGAATTTAAAACTTCAATATATATATATATATATATATATATATATATATATATAAATTCTGGATTTAACTTTGTACAAATTTTCTGAAACAATCTGTTCTGTAAAATTACATTTCGAATTTTATAATTCGAAATTTTAAAAATTTATATATTTTCAGATTTATTTATCTATTTTTTTTTTCAGATTTTTCGATTTGCTGGATCACTCATTCCATATATATAAGGATATTATTATCCTAAGAAAGAATAAATCTAAAAAAAATGGGGATGCAGATAGAAAAAGTGGGTGCAGAAGGAATTTTCCCAACACAATTTTTGTAATAGGTTTGGATCAAACAACACACTTTTATCATGTCTGTTAAGATTTTGAACTGCTGAAGCCTCTTAGGAGTTAAGGGTTTGACAAATTGGGCCTTCGAATGTCTAAAAAACAATTGAACAATTTAGAGGTTTTTTTTTTTTTTTTTTTTTTTTGTGACACATGTTTTTCAAGTTCATTGAGTCAAAGAATAGTATGGTTGTCTTCAAAATATGAACATATCACAGTTGTGTTCCACTCCTCAGATTCTTCAAACTTCATGTTTGGTTTGTGGGCAAAGTCACTTTTGGAGGTTGAAGTTGAAAGAGATGTAATTCTCATGTACATTGTAAGATTTCAGAAATGGTAGTGGCACAATTGTGCAAAGATATTTTATAAAGTTTTGAATAAGGTTGGTTTTTATTATTATTTTATACAAATTGAAAAAAAAAAGAAAAAAAAAGTTTTAGAATAATTAGCAAAAAGAATATGTTATCTGTCCATGCATGAACCACTGTTATTGTGATTAACCTTTTTCTCCCGTAAATAAGCAAATTTGAATGGAACATGTATTGATTCTCATCCCATAAAATATCCAATGAAAATAGAAAAATTCTCATTATTTGGAAAACCATGTTCTTCTATTTGCCTAGGGTTTCACCACACACACCTACAATATCTATTTTCAGCAGACAGACATGTTTATATATATATAAAATAAAATGAGGACTGAAATTGTGAAACAATAACAATGCTGTAAAAAACATATGTTTTAAGATATATTAATAATATTTATTCTAAATGTTTTGAAAAATGGTATTTTGACTCATTAGGGTTTGCTTGCCTTTAATTCCTACCTAATAATAAAAAAAATAGTTTATAATTTTCAAGAAATGAAGAAAAGAAATATTTAAATAAAATTTCGTTCGTTTTATGAAGACTAAAAATCTAAATACAACAAAGGTGAAACTATATATAATTTTCACCTTTCATTAGTTATAATTAACTTTTTAACTAATATAAATCACTCTTTCAACATATATAAAAAACATATATAGTGCTTTATTTTGATATAAATTTTTCATTTAATAAAATCTTTCTCATAGCTCTTTATACATATATCTATATTTTTAACGTTTGATCGCGTTTTAATATATAAAGATAAATACTATAAAAATAGATAGGAGGAACTGTATTATTTATATAAATTTTTAAAAAATAATCTAGAAATGAACATCTTAAATACTATATGTTTCTTACATAAAAATATACTTTACTAAATCAGTTCTCTCCCGTATATTTTAGTTTGATATGATATCGAGTAAAATATAAATCTTCAAATTAAAAATATCTAAAATAATTTTTATTTTGCATCTTCAAATTGAAACAAACGCCAAATGAAGTACACACCCAAAAGTAAAATCAATTGGAGTGGCTAATCTAAATAAGGGAAATTACAAAATTTCCATTCACTTTTTTTCTTATTTTTCTTACTATGTTAATAAAGAAGAATAGTGGAGGACAAATATTAGGTCCACATAGGAAAGAGGCAATATCCTCCACATGAGTAGCCACCAGTCATTTGGTCTCAGGGACCACATTTTAGTACAAGGAATTTATAAATTTAGTTATACTTTTCATGTCTCAAAATATATAATAATTTCATGTATTGATTTATAAAATTTAAGCAATGCTGCTTATTATATAATTTAGCAGTCAAATATACGATGCGGATTAACATATATAAACATTTTTACTTTTTATCAAAATAAAAATAAAATAAAATAATATGATAAAGGAGAGATTTTAATGCAAAAATATTTTAAATGTTAATAGAGAGATTAATTATAAAATTCACAACATTAAATTAAACACTCATAAATTTTGTGTCGCACACATATATTTTAATATAAAATTCAATAGTTTAATTATATTTTTAGTTATTATTTTTTTCATTGAAAAAAATGAATATATGTAATCTTTTCTCATTTTCAAATAAAATATTGAATATAATTTTTATTGACTAAGGTATGGATTCACTTAGGTGACAAATAGAATTGGATACAATATAATAGGTATCATTTTATTAAGGGTGTTGTTTCATTTTCCTTTTTCAACATAATCATTGAATCCACCACTATAATTATATTAAGAGTTAGAGACTAGATCAGAAAATTAATTTTAAAAGAATCATTCTAAATAAATAATTCTTTAGAGGGACGATAATATATTTTTATAATAAATTTTTAAAAGATTTGTTTTAGGAGACTGTCATCATTGTTTCCTTTTGCCAACTACAGAAAGAGACAAGAGTAGGATATATGTAAGGGGTATAATTACTTATTATATCATGCAAATATTAAGAACTCTTCGTGATTTATTTATGCATTCCTTAAATTCAAGAGTGAGAGTAGGAAAATTTATTAATATAACCTTAGAGATGGTTCATTATGTTAAGTAAGTCTAAGTCTTATGTTGAGTAAGAATAAGAAAGTTGAGTAATATATAAGAAAAAAAGATAAATAACTTAATGTTTTAAGGTTTTTGGTTGAAGGTGGTGTAAATATCTTATATAAGTTGGACTCATATTTCATTGTTATTGTCTTTTATCCATAAATCCCCCTCAATAAATCCAACAAGGCAATAAAGATAGTAATATTAATATATTTAACCTAATGTTTTAAGATTTTAGGTAAAACAAATTTTGCTCTGGTAGAAAAATAAAAAAATAGAAATTAATAAAATATACACACAATCATCACATAAATAATATAACAATACACGATATAAAATAATTTAAAATAGATTATACAATTTAAATGTTCACATAATACAAGTGTATATATAACTTCGTTCATCACATAACCGCACAATCATCCCAAATGTTTATAATCGTTCATATAGACTCGTTATCATACAAACAACAGATACTTGATCACTCTTAGAAGATTAAACATTAAATTCAAACCCAGATATTCGCATGTCAAATTACAATTTCATCCATGCTTAACATAGGTACCTTACACACTCTCATGTGATAGAAGTGTTCAAAATATATGTTTTCTTATCTTTTATTAGATATTAAGAGATTTTAGTATCTTTTAAGAAAAAAAGATATTACATTATTATTTTGATTTAGGTTGTTATGATTAAAATATTGTTAATATTTGATATTTTATCATATTTTTACTCTTTATATAGATAAAGTAGATGAATAAAATATATATTCATATAAGATATATTTCATATATCATAAATACACACACACAAAACCCTAAAAAATTTTATCAGCTGGTATTAGAGTTTTGAATGGAAGGAGAACAAAGTTTTTTACAAGTCGTTATTCTAATTTTCGATTGTGAAAATTATGACTTATGGGATGTGAGAATGAAATTTTATCTTGAAGGATTGAATTTATGGAAAGCTGTAGAAGATGATTACATAATTAATCTGATGCTTAAAAATCTCACCATATAACTCAAATTAAAATTTAAAGAGAAAAAAAAAATGAGGAAGACAAAAGTAAAATCATGTATGTTAACTGGTATTTCACAAATGATCCTCACCAGAATCATGACACTAAAGTCACCCAAAGAAATTTGAGATTATTTGAAAGACCAATATGAAGGGAACAAGATAATTCGAGGTATGAAAAAATTAATGAATACTCAAGTAAATTAATATGAAGGGGACAAGATAATTCGAGGTATGAAAAAATTAATGAATACTCAAGTAAATTGTTGAGTATTGCTAACAAGATAAAACTCTTAAGTAAAAAAAATTCTGATTTCATAATAGTTAAGAAAAATTTTGTAACTGTGTTAGAGAGATATGAACATCTATGGTTTCATTGGAAAACACAAAAGATTTGTCTAATATTATTTTGGCAAAAGTGTTACATACTTTACAAGCACAGAAACAACGAAAATTGATGAAAGGAGATTAGGTTGTTGTTGAAGGTTCTTTATTATATTATGGTGAATGTTTTCTCCAAGCTAAAAATAATAAATATACAAAATCACGTGTCTTATCTGTCTGTCTTATTGTAACAAAATAGCTAGTCACACAATAAGTATTGGTGAAGACCCGATGTGAAATATTGCAAATATGGTGAATTGGGACATATAGAAAATATCTGCAAATCACAACCAAAAGAAGTCGTTAAGGTTATAGAAGATGAATTAGAAGAGGAATTTCTCCTTGTATCAACATGTTTTACAATCAACAAATTCACAAGTTGACTTATAGATATTGATTATACAAACTATATGACTCATAATCGAGAACTTTTAAAAAAGCTCAAGGAATCTCTTGTTTCTAAAATAAGAATTAGAATGGAGAACAAATGGATATGAAAGATATGATAACAATTGTACTTAATTTTTGATATTTTATATGTTCCTGATATTAATCGTAATTTGTTAAATGTTGCTCAATTATTGAAAAAAAATTATAAGATGTCTTTTAAACATAAATTTTGTGTGATTAAAGATGCAAATAACTTGGAAAGGAAATTTTTTTACTTTAGATTTGATAAAAGAGGAGTTGATTACAAATGAAGATATAAAAAAAAGTCAAATGAAAAACATGATGAATATTTCTTAAAGAAACTTGATGTTAAGGAGGAAAATAAAGATATAGATAAAGAAATAGTTTTTGACGTCCATCAAAGGGTCAATGGTATTATCATGAAGTTTGAAAGAAATAAAGGAGATGAAACTGATAAAGAAAGAAATATATTGACGAAGAAAGTTAAATTGAATGAAGATCTGATCTCATATAAGAATAACGATAACAAGAAGTACGAGAAAAAAAGTAATAATTTTAAGCAAAATAAAAGGAAGAATATCAAATTCAAATTACCAGATATTAAAGTAAGGAGGAATGTTGAGAATATATATTTTTTATCTTCTATTAGGTATTAAGATATTTTATTATTTTTTAAGTGAAGAAAATATTATATTATTATTTTAATTTAGTAGCTATCATTAAGATATTGTTAATATTTGATATTTTGTTATATTTTTACTCTTTATATATAGATGGAATACATGAATAAAATATATTCCCATATGAAATATATTTCATATATAAAAAGTACACATATACAAACCCAGAAAAATTCTCGTCAAGGATAAATCATTATGACTTTCTACTAGGAATGTCAAAGTGAGTCAACCAAATTTCTACGAGTTGAGCTGAAATAGACAGACACAATCTGACTCACTTAATGGTGAGTCAAATATTTTACAATCCGACTCAACTTATTATGGGTTGGTGGATTATATGAATTGACTCATTAACCCGTTAAAAACGAATCAAATACAACAAACATGGTGGACGTAATAGGTGTGTGAATGTAGTGGATATAACGAAGACGATAGATGCAAAAGAGGTCGAAGATAATTGAGACAAACAAATACAAGTGGACGTGGTAGACACAAATGACATAATGTATTAGGCACACATGACATATAAGAGCATTGCAAGTACAACAACCTTTACTGAAAGTGATTTTGTGGGCTAGTAATAGTACACAAACACATAATAACTTAAATGAAGGAAATTAAATTTTTATTAAATTATTAATTATTTTTAAAATTTAAAATGTATTAAGGATTGTGGGTCCATATACCATAATTTGGTTCGAACCCTTCTAACCCGGTAGTTAGATGAATCGGTTCATTTTGACCCATATTTGATAAAAAAATATCCCAACCCAGCTCAAATATAGAATGAATAAAGTTGACTCACGTATTAGAACTCATCTTAACACTTAGTTTTCTAGACATAGTATTTTTTCAATAATTTATAAAAATTCCCCTCAACTTCTATTATTATATTTCTATCTATATGATTCATTTTATATATAGAATTAAGATTTTTTTCCCTTATATTTTATAGGTAAATAGTAAAGTATAAGTAAAATTTTCTTCTTCTTTTTTGCAATTTCTTAATATTCTCAATTAAGGAAATAATTATTATAATATATGAAATTAAGAAAATGTAACTTAAAATAGTAACCTAATAAATATGTAAAGAGTAGAATGAGAACTGAGTTAGAGCAAGTGTATAAATATTTGATTAATGACCTACTGGCTTGCAGTTAAAGGGAATGGGGAAGAACCAAAGGCATCTTATTATACTACCCTTTTTCTTTTAGTACAAGTCCTATAGGATCATTTCATATCTTTCTTCTTCTTTTTTTCTCAAATAAAAAAGCTACCTAAAATCCAATGCAATGGTACTCTAGAATTCCCAAGGACAGATTCACTTTGTTTTTGTCTGAGGACATATATCTAATATCTATTTATCATTATAAGTTTCATTTGTATTAATATGAGAGAAGATACAAGGTCAAATGTTAAAGAAAAAACTATGTACATCCATTTCTTTTTTATTTTTTATTTTCAATCTAATCTAGTTCAAATTCTTGCTGTGGTGGGTTAAAATCTATATTAAAACTTGTATCGTTAAAAATACGATTAAATTATAATATATAATGTATTTGATAAATTCTCATTTTAAAATTTAGTTACATCTAGACTTTTTATAAAATAATATGATAACTTATATTAATAAAATTGTTTTATTGTAATAGATTTGTGATAAGTGCTATTTTTAAGTATGATAGCTGTTTTTTTAGAACAAATATAAATTGAAAACGCGACAATGCCCGTACTTTCATTAATATATATAGAAAGATAATATCATTTTAAAGTTTTTTGATAAATTTATCGTGAAAATAATGATATTGTCTATTACATCAATTATTTGAATATATTTTTTAGTGTTCTTCTACTTTTATAATATATTATTGTTATTTTAAGAAATACATATAATTTTATTCACGATCAAATGATTATTTTAATTTTTTATTTATACTAAATTGATAAAGACAAAGTTACACACTAAAAAATATTACTAATTTGAACTGTTCTTTCCATAATCTCTTTTCTTTTTCATCATATAAATTTGTTCTCATGTACCAAATTCATTTTTAAATTTAATCTTATTAAACCCGTGGAAATTCACACTTTTTCATATAATTAAATTTATTTACAAATTTAAAAGTTATGTCATACTTTTTCTATATAAAAAAATTATTCTTCTAAAATTTTATGTTGGTTCTTGATTTTTTTTTTTAAACTGAAAGAAAAAATTGAAAGAAGTAGTTGGGTGTGAGCCAGATCCTTAAATTTCTGAACTGAGATCCCTGCGTTTGACTAGTTTTGAACATAAATACTGAGATTCTCTATAATTTTGTTGTCACTATATTCTCTACTATTTTAAGAAAAAATGTATCTAAATAAAAAAACATTAAGTACTAGCATTCTAAATATTTTGTCAAGTTTATTATTTATTTTTATTATAATTATTTCAAAATTTATATCTGAAATGATTTGTCATTTAGCATTTCTTTATCATAAAATTAATTGACTGGATAAAAATCTTTCATTAAAAACACATTTCTATTAAATCTATAAATTTGAGTTAATTTTAATTTTTGTTTATTTATTATTTTTACATTTTAATTAATCAAAATAATATTACATACTTTACATAAATACGTCCTGCTTAAGATTTAATTAAATAAGAATAAAATATGAAAAAAATACACTAATTTTATTTTTTAATAGAAGATCGATTTTTAATTCATTTTCAAAATAAAAGACTAGAAAATGAAAATGATATTTAGTTAAAGAGTGGTGATATTTTGATATTATTATTCATTTTATATATTTAATTTATAATTTATTATAATAATATAATAATAATAAATATATAAATTTAAAAAGATTTATTAATTTAATATTATATTATTAAAATTGAGTTGTTTAATGAATGATTGATGGGTGAGAGGTAAACTTATCATTTTCCTTAATTAAAAAATGAGTTATGAATACAATAGAGGGAGGAGAGTAAAAAACAAAAAAGGTATTGTATGATGAGACTCATCCAGATTTTGAGAACTGGTGGTCCGTGACCATGTTATTCAGTTTTAGTAAATTTACAATCTTTCTCGATTTTTCAAAGATACAGATAACCAGTAAATGGGGTTTGGGAGTGTGGAGATTCCTTTAGTTTTTACCAAACCACGAGCCATGATGACAATGTGGTCACACTCACACTAAATATAAGAACTAACACATTCATCATCACTCTTCAGTTTAAGGTAGTCAGCACAGAAAGAAGGGACATTTTGATGTCACATAATCTGGTCCTGATTGCTTTCTTGTCTCTTTCTAAGGCCGTCACGCCCACCTCTTCCCTTTTCTCCCAACTTCCTAAAAAGAACAATTCTTCTTCTTCTTCTTCTTCTTCTTCTTCTTCTCATCATGTAAATTCCCAAGCTTGGATGAAATGCTCTTGCAAGTTTCCACCCTTTTGTGTTTTATTATTGGTTGGTGTGTTTTTGCAGGTGGGGTTGTAAATTGGACTTTGTTGCTACAAGTTAGATTTTGATTCATGGCGGCTGAGTTTGGGGGGAAGAATCAGTACTTGTGTAGACCTGTGGTAATGAAGAAAGCTGTTGGGAATGGGAAGAAGAGTTTGGAATGGGATTTGAATGATTGGAAATGGGATGGTGATCTTTTCACTGCTCAACCACTCAATTCAGTGCCATCAGATTGTAGGAGTCGCCAGTTTTTCCCTCCTCATCCTGAAATTCCTGCAAAAAATGCTAATCTTTCTACCAATTTGTCTTCTTCTGTATTCAACCCAAGTGTGGGAAAGAGGGAATTGGAGAAAAGGAGGAGGGGTGCTATAGAGGAAGGTGAAGGGGAGGGGCTGAACGATGAGGGTGGTTCTCTTAGTTTGAACCTTGGGGGTCAAGGTTACCCTTTCATGGTGGAAGGAGAGGAAAAAAGTGGAAAAAAGACAAAGGTAATTGGGACTACTACTGTTGCTGCTACCACCTCTAACCGTGCTGTTTGTCAGGTGCAAGATTGTAGGGCTGATCTTAGTAATGCCAAGGATTACCACCGTCGGCACAAGGTTTGTGATGTTCATTCTAAGGCCACCATGGCGCTAGTGGGAAATGTTATGCAACGTTTCTGTCAACAGTGTAGCAGGTCAGTTAGGTTGCACGCAACCGGATCTTTTCCTTGGTGTTATACAATTCATATTTGTGTTGTGATCGTCAAATTAATATTTTGTGAACCTTCAAAAAAGGGGAAGATTCTCTATTTCTTGTATTTAACTCCCAAGTGAAAGTCGTTTAAAAGAAGTTTTCTTTTAGAATAAACAAGAATTTCATGACATTTTCCAACATTTGTGGCAGGTTTCATGTCCTTCAAGAGTTTGATGAAGGGAAGAGAAGTTGTCGTAGGCGTTTGGCAGGTCATAACAGGAGGAGGAGGAAAACTCATCCTGATGTTACTGCTGTTAATGAAGGCTCTCTTAACGATGAAAGGGGCAGTAGCTATCTGTTGATGAGTCTTTTACGGATGCTGACCAATTTGCATAGTGAGTATGTGTGACATTAGAAGTTTATCTGCTTGGCCCTCTTCGCGATTTATTTATTTTGCTGTTGCAATATGAAACTGTAATAATGATGAATCTAAGCTACTTGTTGGTGCTGAAAATCTTTTAGTGGTAAATCTTAAGGTAGGTCTCGTCCGTGATGACGCCAATTTAGAGGATTTGAACCCATGAGATTCTGGAGTTCGGATGAGTGTGTTTATTGCAGAGTCTATTGCAAAGTATTTTCTTATAATTTTGTGGTCATTGATATGGCAAAGCATGTCAAAGGTAATAATAGCTTGATGACTTGAGGAGTCTATTTTTTCCCTCACCTAAGTTTCACCTAAATGTTCAAATGTTCAACTCCAGTTAAAAGCCAGAACCTAGGTGGTTATAGCATCAACAGATTGCTTGACCTTTGTGCTCTACTCTAGATTCTCCTCTACCTAAATTGGAGTATAGCGTGTGCATGGGGAGTTAGGCACTTGACCTTTGACATCTTGTCAGGAATCGTACCAGATTAAAATTGATTCTCTAAATTATGATGGCACAAAGTATTTGATAAAAATGAGTGATAGTGATTAAACTGTATCTTTATACTTTAATTTTTTCTACATGTGCTTTCTAATGACTTTTTGGCACGTTCCTGTAGCAAAGCTAGAATGCCTGAAGGTTTTTTCTACTAGAACGTTACTTGAAAAAGAAATTAGTTACTTGTGACTTGAGCTTGTAGCTATCGTGTTGTCTCCACTGTTGGAATCATTTTGCATTTCTCCTTCATCCTGGATGCCATCATTAGAATATTTATTTGACTCCACAGATTATGCCTTCTATAAATTGCAGCAATTGGCTCGGATCATACAAGGAACCAGGATATTCTCTCCCATCTTCTGAGGAACCTGGCAAGCCTGGCTGCTCCAAACAATGGTACAAGTTTATCCACCTTATTGGAGGACACTAAAGGTCTGGTAAATTCTGGGACACCTGGAGCAACTCATGATAAACCCAACCTTAACGCAAACTGTCCTGAAGCTTCCAGGCCTTCTGGTTCTTCCATCAAGATTGATAATGGCTTCTTCAGTCAGGACCCTTCTATGGCACTGTATGAAACAGTGCCTTCTAATGGTGGGACACAAAAATGTATACCTCCAGGTGATGGGGGAGTAGGAAATTCAAAACCACCTCCAGGAGCACTGTTTTCAAGTATAAGTCAATCAAGGGGAAGTCTTCCATCCCAATTAGTTTCAGTGGAGACTGCACTTGGAAGGGGCAACTTAAATACCATTGACCTGAATAATGTATTCAATGATACGCAGAACACTGTTGAGAATCATAAGAAGCCCTATCCTCATGTGGCATCAGAGATGGGATCTATTGATCTTCCCTCATGGTTGCAATGTGATTCTCTCAAATCAAGTCCTCCACAGACAAGCAGAAACTCAGATTCAACCTCTAACCAATCACCATCTAGTTCCAGCGGAGAAGCTCAGGTATATTCTTGGTGTAATTTAAGTTCATTTCCTTATTTCTGATTAATGTAATAATTATGCTCTTTACCTTTGTATCAATATATTTACGGTTGTTTAAAGATTGTTTAGATATCTTTACCGATAAAGATACTATTTTGCAAAGCTTATTATTTGAGGTCTATTTCTCTGGGTCATCTAACTTTTTTTAGTGTGTTTAGGTCTGTTTTTGATGGCTGTCACAGAAGATTTATTTATTGAAATGTTGTTTGTTTACTGTTTAAAGAGTCGCACAGATCGAATTGTTTTTAAACTCTTTGGCAAGGATCCAAATGATTTTCCCCTTCTTCTCCGGTCACAGGTACTTTCTTGCGCCATGAATTGCTATAGAGAATTTACACCAATGTTTCTTTTGCTGTGTTTGATTTACAGTTTCTTTTGTGTTCCAGATTCTCAACTGGTTATCCCGCAGTCCCACAGAGATAGAGAGCTATATAAGGCCAGGTTGTATCATATTAACAATATATCTTCGTCTTGAAAAATCTGCATGGGAGGAGGTATTGTTTGATATAGTGCCACAAAGGCTGGTCCATCAGATGAATACATTTGAAAAGCGGAAAAGAATTTAAATGTGCTTATTACTATTTTGACATTGCAGCTTTACTGTAATCTAGGGTCCAGCTTGAGAAAGCTTCTTGCTGCATCAAATGATACATTTTGGAGAACAGGATGGGTATTTGCAAGGGTGCAGCACTCTGTGGCTTTTCTGTATAACGGTTTGTTCTCCCTTAAGCTTCGTTGTGTGAGCATTCCTCTCACGTGATTGTAATTTTTAGTATCATGAACAACTTATACTATTTGTTATCTTTGTTTCTAGAAACATTCTTTTGTCTCATGCATCTCTCCTGCAGGTCAGGTAGTCTTAGACGTGCCCTGGTGTCTCAAAAGCCCGCAACATTGTACGATTTCATGCATTAAACCACTTGCTGTTCCTGCAAGTGCTAGTGCTCACTTTATTGTCAAAGGTTGCAACCTTTCCCAGTCTAGCACAAGGTAAATTTCTTTAATCTAGTAATATTCAAAGTTTTTGACTTAGTAAAAGGTTCTTGCTAGAGGAGGGCATTTGTGTACTGGAAGAAGCTTACGCTGAACTACACAGTACTTATTTCTGTTTGATGAATATCACGTTGCTTGATGTACAATTTCATAATAAGGGATGAGAAAAAGGCAAAAAAAATAATGTATTTCTGTTTCCCAGGATTTTAGCACCTATGACTATGTTGGAATTTTGAAAGAAAAAGTGGCTTCAGATTTGATGAGATCTTGTCAAGATTCTAATTACTGTGCAGTTGTAACTATCTGGCCACTGAAATAATTTTGTAGAGGAATGAGAGATTTTATTTTGACGGCGGGCACTTTTACCTTAGTTCAAGGGTATACATTGGATTTATTCATATTCTGTGTATGGTTGTGGATATAGGGAAGATCCTAGTTTTAATTTTTGTTTGTTGGGACTAGCCCAGATGTTGATCTGTTTCTAATGATTTCCAGGTTGCTGTGTGCAATTGAAGGGAAGTATCTGGTACATGCTAGTTGTCATGATTTAATTGGTGGCGCTGATGAATCCATTCAGCATCTCAACTTCTCTTGTCATATACCAAATGTAACTGGGAGGGGTTTTATTGAGGTGGTATCACTTTATCATACTCCAAATCTTTTCTAATAATTTTTCTTTTCCAAAAAAAGTGAAATATGCCTTAATATCTTTTTGAAAGTTTTAGATTTTACCCTGTAAACTTACTGAAAGTAGCAGTGCTTACTTCTTAGATGTCACTTGTGTTGTGGATAACTCCTTTGTTAAATTGCTGTTACCGATGCCTGCCATTTGGTTCTTATAATATAGCTCTTGGAAACTTCTAAATAACCTCAGTCCCTAGTTTAGGTTTTCTTATAAACTCTTTAAAACAATCTTTATGAATGATAATGATGTAAAAAATTCTTCGTATCTAATTTATTTCACTAACTACAAATTTAAAATTCTGAAAAAATAAATAAAATAAAAGAGAGAGCTATCCCTAGAAAGAAAGCTCATAAGTAGTATTCTGCAGACTAATCTATAGTTGTGAAATGACATTTTCTATTTTTCAAATTTCTGAAACTACATTTTGATGATAAATGCTGTCAGGTGGAAGACAATGGTCTTAGCAGTAGTTCCTTTCCATTTATAGTTGCTGAGCAAGAAGTTTGTTCAGAGATCTGCAAGCTGGAGAATGTGATTGAGGGTGCTGAAACCACTGGTGACATCCAGATTAAAAACCAACAAATGAAAGAAAAGACTGAAGCTCTTCATTTCTTGCAAGAAATGGGTTGGCTTCTTCATAGAAGTCGTGTGAAAGTTAGGCTAAGTCCAATGGCTCCTATCCATGCTCTCTTCCATTTTAATCGGTTCACGTGGCTTGTTGACTTCTCCATGGACCATGGCTGGTGTGCTGTGATGAAAAAC